GCGTGCGGTCCGTATAGGTTCCTATTTCAACCGCGCGCGAACGCTGAGCGTCCGTAACGGATTGTTCGCGAATCATCTGTGATTTTGGTAACATGTTCCCTATAGTTTTCTCTAGTTAAATCTTTTGAAAGCTTTTTTTCAACTTTCTTTTATAAACAAATACATTTTTCGTCACGTTTAAAGAACACTTGAATTATTTCTTCTGTAATCTGTGAAACTCCTTGAAAAGATTGTATCTTTGAATCTAATTATCTCGTTTCTTGTTTGAGGGATCAAAAAAGTGTCAACTAATGAAATGTTTATAATATCAAGGAAATCATTTTTGCCGTTAAGAATTTTTCATATCTTTTTGCAGGAACCGAGGAAAAGACGGCCAAAGTTTGCGGTCTAACCGTAAACTTTGAGCCAATTTATCTCGATTCCGGTGAAAGATATCAAAAGTGATACACTCACAAAACGCTCATTATCATATCAAAAATGTTTCGGCAGTTTACTACTTTTTGATATCGTTCATAGGAACCGAGATACATTGACTCAAAGTGGAAAGTTAGGGATGTCATTCTATTAGAGTACTACCTGTCGGTTAACGGCCCTACGGGGTTGAACCTTCTGGTTTTTCAGTGCTATTGTTTGTGGTTTTTCAGTGCTATAACTTTTTCAGTGCTATTGTTTTCATTGACTGTACTCGAAAATTAAAGAATTTAGAAGTTTGAGATTTCGGAGCCTGAAATAGGGGAATCGAGAAATTTGAAAAGTTACACCTTTCGAAATTCTGACATTCTGGGATTTTATAATTTTAGAATTCAAAAGAGTGTTTCAGATCTGAATCACCAGCTTTTCTTAATTTTCATGAATTCCTGATTTTCGAATTTTCAAAATTCCTAATGTCTGACCTTCAGAGAGTTTAGAAATTCTGACTTTCAGAATTAAGAACACTCGAAATTTTTCAATTCGGAAGTAAATATCGGAATGTGGAAACATGGGAATCCGAATTGTCAATCTTTCAGAGATTCAGAAACTCAACAACTTGGGAATTTTAAAAAACTCAGCATTTTCCCTATTCAGATATCAACAGAACATTTTAAGACGTTAGAACGAGGCAGAGTAAGATTCCAATCAGAAGTCACACCCTTATGGGTGTAACAATGATCTAATTGTAAAGACAAATAACCAGTGGATCATTCTTAAAAATATCTGAATATATCAAATCTGTGAAACCGTAATTCTTGGTTTTTTTTTTGCAAGATTCGAGTGTTTTCGAAGATTATCTGTAGTCCAACGAATTCAATTCAAGTCAATTCAATTTATTACGCATCTAAAAATATGTGAATTATTGAATTGCGAATCGAGAATTGTGTTTTTACTTCATACTCCAGTCTTTGCGCCTTCATGAAACAGAAAAAATTGATATATTTTTCAATACTTTTATTATTATTCATGTTAATTTGTATGTGATCGAATAAATTATGGTGGATGAAAAATGAGATCAAATTATCAGTTGGCACGGGCCATGTAGGCGTCGATCTCCGCGTCCATTTCCTCGACAGTCTTCTTTGGTTTCTCCTCTCTCTTTGGTTTTTTTGTCTTCTTGGCTCCAGTCTTTTGAGCTCCAGCAGCTGGTTTTCCTTGTTTCTTTGGAGTCCGTTGAGCAGTTCTTGGTCTTCCGGCAGATTGTGGAACTCTTTGTGGTTTGGATGGGAACTTGACACGATTGGCGATGTTGGTGGTGTCGATAATAGCGAATTTCATTTCCTTTCCATCGAGAGCCACTCCAGCAAACTTTTGAATGAGACGATCGGCTTGACGTTTCGAGAGAGTGATGTCTCCGGTTCCAGCTGCAGCTCCCTTCTCATTGAAGTTCACGGAGCAGTTCTTGATTTTGAATTCAGCAAAGAGTTGACGAAGGTCACCGGAGAGAACCGATGGGGCGAGATTGGACAAGTTGACACGGACTTCGCGGTTATCTGGAAACATGAGCATGAAGTTTCCGGATCTTCTAGACGTGAAGCTTACCATTCGATGGAATCAGTTCTTTATGGAAACTTCTACTTTGACGACGTGGAACTCTTCCTCCACTCTGACGTCTGACACTTCCAGATGGCTTAGCACCACTGAAACGTTTCTTGATTCCTCCTGTTGATGCTCTCTTGATTGGCGACTTCTTGAAGTTCTTGGATCTACGGATTCCGGAAGACAGTGGAGCGTCGATGTCGATAGCACGAGCCAAGGAGTGGAAGAAATTTTCGCTCCTGGGAAAGGTCACGAAATATAGTAACCTATAGAAACCATCTACTGGTCTATTGGAAATCTGTTCCTTTGGGATGGTTGAAGGATCATATAAGACAAGGCTATTGAAAAATTGCTACTACAACAAGTTGTTAAAAATTCAGGCGTGAAATCCTAATAGTATTACCACAAACCGATTCAGCCGAATTTCCATTAGAAAGTACATTAACGAGGAGTACAGTAACCTATAGAAGATGGGATAGTTGAATGATCATACGGAACGAAAAAAAATTCTGCTACAACAAGTTTTAAAAAATGAAGGCTTTAAAGAAATCTTAATGACTCAGACTGACTTTTTTTTACTAAAATCATACCAATGGCAAATTTAAAAAAAATCAGATTCAGCTGGAACTCCATAAGAGTGCAATAGCAAAAACTGAAAAACTAGAAAACCAATCTTATTGCATTTTGGGAAAACTGTCATTCTTATGACTGAAAACAGTGAATGCACAACAATAGAAAATTTACATCTACATGCACACAACGATCGTTATAAGAAATGAGTGACTATGTGAAGAAAAAAAAATGGGGAGAAAAAAGATGGGGAGACTTGGGAATGAGGGCCCAGTATCCAAGGGTACGTCAGAAAAGGGTACATCGAGGGTACATAGAGATCTTAGGGTACATCTGGGAGGTAGGTTCAATGGGTACATCTCATGGTGGTTCTAAGGGTACATCAGGGAAAGGATCCCAGGGTACATCAAAAAGTTCTTAGGGTACATCAATTAAAAATTTTGTAGTTTTCAACTGGAAGATATTTTGGTATAAACTGCACTATTTTATTTATTTTTTTGTTTGTATTTGTTTGAAAATTACCATTTTTTCATAGTTTTATGGATTGATAGATTTTTTGAAGTTTGTTTTAAAGGAGCTTATTATACTGAAATTGGCAATAGGAAACAAGTCGAAAACTCGATATTTATCAGAACGAACTTTCAACCAAAACCACATTTCAAATGTGCCAGGACAGGAAGCATTATAAATTTGAAAAAAATCCAAATTCTTTCAAACTCTTCGGATTTGTCGGAAACATAATGGTACAAAATCGTTAAAAAGACTACGAAATGAAATTTGTTTTCAAGTACACAAAAACAGAACAGTTGGGCCTGGTCGAACTTGAACTCGCGACTGTAGATTTCCGTGCACGCAAACACACCACTAGACCACTTTGCCAAGGTTCGCTCTGGCCACCACAACCCGTACATATCTTCGGTGGTTTCTAAAGTAGAAAGGAGTGCGTAGGTGGAGAAAGCAATAATTTTCGGAAGGTTTTCCAGACATGGAATGAAAATGAGCACTGGCTAGTCGAAACTTCTGAAAATTATGGCTGAAAGTCATCTACTTTTAGTTTTTCGCTGTCATATTTTTCTGCAGGTGTCAAAATCTGTGGAGACGAAAAGAAAATCAATGAAAATTCATGAATTCCGAATTCTAACATCAAAACTGGGTAAACATCCTAATTTGGTCCACCGAAATCAGAAATCAGTCGGAAAATACCTAATATTTGTCTCAAAAATTTAATTTTTAGGCCATGTTCTCGATTTCAGTTGTTTCCGGTGACGTTGCCGATCGCTCGCCTCTGTATTTTATCTGTCGTTGATCAAAAAAATTTTTCATGTAAAAAATGTTATTTTTTTCTCAAAAATTTGTCTTTTACTGCGATTTTTGTGTTTGAATCCCAAAAAATTGTTCGAAATTCACATGGAAGAGTTTCCAGAATTTTCTAGGCCAGCGGATGCAACGGCTCTTTGTCGATTTACGGGACTCCTTTTTTTACATTTTTGCTCCGATTTTCT